TTATATTTATATAATATATTTAGTCATAATAATTTTCAATAAGTGTAATAAATGATCGTCTATCATGATGCATGGAAACATGGATCCAGCAAATAAGTCTAGGTGGTGTCGTCACAGAAGATTTTTTTCACACATCATACAATACAAGAGCATTAAATAAATTCCCATCGCCTAGCTTATTTACGACATAGTTCATTGATCTTGTTAACTCAAAAATTGATCACCAAAAGCCTCTATAAACTGTGAGTAGCGACACAAGCGAAATTAATGGCGTGGCCATACGCAATCTTGAATTTATCGAAATCCTTTTTTTTTACTGGTAAGATTGACTTTATTAAAAACACGGCAACAAATATAATCTTTTAAGACGCATACAATCTCCTTTTCCGGCTTCTCTGCCGTAGCTGCTTGTGAGTGTGTGAAATACTTTTGTAGCTGGCCCAACGGAGCTCGCTATTTCGTTTTAACCGATTTTCGACTGTAATTATCTGTAACAACATAATTCTTTTAAAATACTTCATTAATGATTTCAATTTATTATAATTATTTCGAGAATCATCGACTGATTTTTTTTTTTTTTTTTTTCGGTGCTCCCGCATTTTTCCACTAATTCATCATTATGTTTTTTCATCCATTAATGCATGATTTAAGGTGACAAGTGAGAGGAGGCGGAAGCGTTTTAATACAATATCATCGTAATTAGTATCACGCAAAAGTGTAGCTACAGAAGTACGAACGCCGCAAAGGCCGCGTTATCACAATGACTCCCTTTCTGCTTCTCCGCAACGTCCTGTTTCGACGTACGATTTGTATTGTATTATTATTTTCGTTCACGTTTATTTTTTCTTCTCATCATTTTTACAAAAAATACGCACACATACATTTAACGACATTATCTAAGTTATCTAGAAAAATTGGAATGCAAGGTTGTATTACTACATTATTAAGTATACTTGTTTTTTGTTTTCCAAGGCGTCGATGCAGTACCCTGTTTTTACACATAAACTCAACCGGTATATATATATATATTTTTTTTCAATTTTCTCTAAATAAATTTTCACGCTCGTACTTAGTTTTTGCCTTCCTCTTTCTTGCGCTCCCCATTTTCACTGTAAACGGTGTAAGTACAAAGTAAGCATGGGGTTTTGCAAAAAAAATTATTCAAATGAGTGACGTTTCATTGGTCTTGATGCGTCGCTTATGGTATGACAGTTTGTCAAAGTCGATAGAAACTCGACCACAGTAGTCACCGTATGGCCTTTACTATATTATTACAATTGCACGTTAATAGATTGCTTATTCAACATTTTTAGTAGTTATTGAATTAATTTTTCAAGCCAAAATTGAATACCGCCGGTAAAATTAAAATGAATGTTAATAGAGCGACTTGATTTAATTATATAAATTTCAAGGTCTCCAGCATATAAAATATTCACGCGTTTTTCATGATGTTTATTTTCTCTTAAATTTTGTTAACAGCAATCGTAATTTTTTCGTAACGTATCGAAAAATGTTACAAAATTTTTCACGAGGTATTGAAGCCAAGCAACATTTTTTTTAGCTTATGAATCCATAAATACTTTTGCTCGCGCAGAAGCTCATAAACCAGTATTTCATTCAAATACGTACATCGAGATATATAATAGATTTTATTCATAAACAATTTCGAAACAAACATATATTATACGATTCATATATATTTATATACAGTATAAATAATCTTAATCTTCATAATTTATCCTCCTTGCGAGTACTGAAACTTAACTCGAGTATCCTTCTGAAAAAAAAAAAAATAAATAAAAAGAATAATAATAGTCGCATGTACGTTCAACAGTACTACTTGTCTGTGCAACCTTGGGATCCCAATTATATTAATAAAGAAACAACAGACCACAGTCCCATCCGATGGCGATGCAGATTCACAACAGAGAATAACTACACGAAACCATCGTGCATCACACAATCTTAGATATATGTACAAAGGCGTTTTTCACATTAATGTTTACTTTGACTCGAGCCCTCGCTCAGTGGTTTAAAGAACCTTCATCTCTCGCCCTACACGAACGAACACATTAACGTTTATTTCTCGAAGCTAACGAATCGATTCGTTGTGCTGTCTGTAGAAGTTTCTCTTCGTTTCCCTTAACACTTACTCCTTTTCTACGAATGGGTCGCATAGAAAAACGCATCGAGTGCACGTTGATGAAAACTAAAATGAACAGTCCTCCGCGATGCCGTTAAAACGCTTCCGCTCGTTTATGTGTGAGTGGCTCCTTTTTTTCAATTACTTTTTACTTCTTTGCTTATACACTACGTACTTTCGCGTATATCTTTTTCTCGCTTCCAACACTTGCGTGTATACACACTACATGTTCATCGAATATACATGTATACACTTCGTACAAGCATATACTGTTTAGCGTCGCACATTACTTGAAATATTTATAATATCTTGGCGCTTTATGCGCTCCATGTATGCATACTTATTTATATTCATTTGGAGTTTAAAGACTACCATGCTCCGTTGAGCCTGCAATATGCAAACTTTTGTTGTTTAAACTGTGGTCTTTCTCGCACTCCTCCAGTCCACCCGTACCCACTTGTCCAACCATACGTTGCTTTTTTTTTTCTTTTTACTTTTTTTTTTTTTTTTTTTTTTTTACTATTCTAACGGTTTGCAATTACTCAGTCATTTTATGTGGTGAACCTTGTCCTATGGTTTTTGAAAAATCATGCTTCTAATGTTCATAGCTTGAATACAGTATACTTGTTGATGAATCGTCAAAGTTGAAAATGGAAGACAATCCCGCGTCTACGTAAAAAAGTAACAAACTATTGTAATTAACAGCTTTACATCAAAACAGCTATTAGGTACGTATGTATAAATAATATTATTTCATACTTTAAAGACGTAAAGTTTTAACAATTTCATATGGCATGGAAAAGCTAAGTTTCGTGCGTCAATCAAAAAACAATGAACAAACTCGTGATTAATATGTCCCCAATCTTCTGTTTAAAAGTAGGCAGTGTAGGCTCACGTAGCAACTAACATATTCGCAATAAAAACTAATGTGAGTTTCGTAATTCACAAGTACAAATGTTTAATAGACAATTAAGGGACAATCATCGTTGTTTCAGTGAGTCTGTGTTTATGTAAAATTTAGTCGAACTACAATGGGTGTAAGAGCGAGTAATTCGCATTTCCTAAAAACAGCACAGACTATTTTCATTTATCTGATCAAATTTCAATGAATTTTGAATTGATAGACAAATATTTGTTAATTTTTAAAGGTTACGTGACTTTTATGTATGACGTAAAAAAAAGTCAGTTTTTCTAAAGCTGCCGATCTTTCTTTCTTTCTTTTTTTTTTTTTTTTTTTTTTTTTTTTTTAACAACTCCTACAAAAACATTTTTTCATCAAAAACACCAAGTATTTTCTTCGCCTGCATATAGGTACACAAAAATATATTACAAAAATTAACATTCGGAATGGCAAAGAAGAGACTAAGAGCGGTCAAAGCTGCTTAAAATTTTTTTTTATAATTTTTTTTAATGCTTAGCTCAAAAGTTAATTTTAACTTGAATTTTTATTCTTACATACAGAGAAATGTCATTTCATTCTTCACGTAACGCATGATGAATAAATTGGTGATTTTCGTGCGAGTATACGGAATACACATATTTTCGTTCATTATAACACACCATCATCGTGTGTGTGATTTTCCACTCTCATGTCGCGGATTCATATACATATATAATTGCTAAAAAGCAATAACAAGTAACCTAACTAAAATGATAATAAAAATAATAATTATTTGACGCTTGTGTGTTTAGGATATTTGTTGTTGTTGTTGTTGTTGTTATCATATACAGGTTTATTTTTATTTATCGAAATATTAATTATTTAGGTATAGATAAAAATTCTACTCCGCTGATTTCAGCTTTTATTTTTGCTCAAGTTAAATTTTTCGTATATAGCTTATTGGACGTGTAAATATCTGGATGGAGCGTGCTCGTGGTTAATACTAACTTTTTTTGTATCATTTTTTTATTATTTTGTTTTTTTAAATCATCATTATCGATATCGATATTGTTATTATTATTGTTGTTGTTGTTGTTTTTTTTTTTTTTTTTTTCTTATTACTTGGTAGTGGTGATTTATTACTCGGCAACGAGAGAGAAAAATTGTACTTGATATAATAATTATTTGCCAACATCGAGCATGCAATAATCCTTGAACGTACGTAAAGCAAAAAAGTGACGGAGAGGGATGGTAGAGATAAATTATTGTTTGTTGATAGGATGAGAAGAAAGAAAAAAAAAAGGAAAAGAGAGAGAGAGAGAGAGGAATGGTTGTTGTTGATTGGTTGGGTAGGTGGCGGTGGTGATGGCTGGCTTGCTTGACTCTTTTTTTGTTTCATCCCCTTTTTATTGCTCAGATGAGCCCCAGAACTTGCCGAAGCGGTTGCGCGCCATCTCTAGCGGGTCGGCCGTCGTGCCGTCCGGGCCCTTCTTAGCCCTCGAATCGAACTCGTCCTGGTAACGCTGGTTCCCCCGAGCCGACTGGAAATTGTTTATCCTTGGAAAATATGTTTCATCTCACTGTTTGGCTGGCAAGCGTCAAACGCCTAAAGAAATGCGGCAAGTGTGAAAGGGCCAACCTCATCCTTGCTGGTCGCTGTCAACGAGCCGTCCTTCTCCGCCGGAAAGTCCCCCTTGTGCCCGTTCGTCCCGGCGAAGCTCCCCAACTCCCCGTTCTTCCTCTCCGGTGGCTGCTGCTGGTTGTTGTACTCTGCTGCTTTTTGACGGCCGTCTAGTTCCGGGGGCGCGGACTGGCACGCCATGGCCGCTCCTGGCCCTATCCAGTTCCTTGCCTCGCTGTGCGCTCGTGTCGGTAGCTCGCCTGTACGACAAGCAAAATTTCGAATATCAGTACAAGTACAGGTGTACCGATAACCAACATTGCCTATCGATGGCAAAGGTTTTGCTATGACCCCCTTGCAGCTAGCCACCATTCATCAAAATTTACAAGATCCGTATTCTAAAAGAAACATCCTTGCATAATTATCATTTTTGCAAATCGATAACTGGTTCTTGGTCCAATTATTATTATTATAACATGTACGTATCAAGTATGGATCGATCAAAGTTGAGTATTTTTTTATCTTTTGTGGTGCCCACTTTAAGGATAAATGCGCTGTAAAAACATACTTGTAAAGGTATATTATGTCTGCTGCAATTGTATGGGAGGAGGGAAAAATATATACAAGTATTGGTCAAGCATGTACGTACCCTCCCGTACGTTTTGGGTGACAGTGAAGGTTTTGCCGGTGTCGAGGGGTACGGTCCAGTTGACCGGTTCGGGCGAGCGCATGATCATTTGCTCGGGCGACTTGACGCGCGTCGGCTCCGGCGGGCTTTTCACCACCGGCTCGTCGTCTATCCAGCCGTCTCTGTGCTGCTGAGGGTGGACGACCGTCGGGGGCGACGCCTCTTCCTCTTCCTGCTGCGGGGCCGGATGCTGTCCGTTTACCTGCGGCTCGGCCGTCACTGAAACGAGCGGCCAAAGCTTACTCGCGAGGTGCGCCCAAGTCGCTTTCGGTTGTTCGCGAGGCTTTTCTTTCTTTTCTCAAGTATCTTATTATCACTTTTTTCCTTGTTTCAACAACACACTTTGAGATATACAAACATTATCAAGAGACTATTGCTGTGCTGCAAACATTCGTACTTCGTCACCGTCGAGGGACTTTTAATGTTTACCATTAAGTCCCTTAACCAATGGAATAGCACGAGGTTACCATTCCAGCACAGTTATTTTTGTTAATTACTACTATTTTCAAAAATATCGATACGAAGCCTATAATTTCCCATGTAGGAGTACATAGGTATACATATAGGGAAGGTGTCGAGCATGTAAAGAGTTTAAGAGCCTCACGAACTTGACCACATTAAAACACGCACGCACACACACACGTATTAATTTGTTTTTATGTTGTTATACATTTAACATTAAGACAAAAGGCTTCGTACGACATGAAGACAAAGACACACATAGGCTACGCTAACCCACGCACGCACGTATACAGATAAAACTGGTGACAGGACATAATTTATACTTTTTTTTATTTATAATATTGTGTTTAATGTCGATGTTGTTCATGGTATAATGTACGTATTTATCGATCCTATGATTTGGCTGTTGTTTCTGTTGTTGTTGTTGTCGTCGTGTGTTTGCATGCATGTTTATATTTGAAGGAAAATCAAAAGGTGACTTCTTGTTTCTTCTTGTTTAAAATCTGTCTGAGAGATTCGTCCACTAAAACTAACACGTGCTTTTATATTTTATTTTTTGCTGATTTTCATTATATAGTGCACTATTAGCTCGTTTTAATCTGACCATGTGACCAGCAAAAGTAAAAAGTACCCCCCATCTTACGCTTGATATTAATTTCAGTGGGACAATCTCGGCAGTAAGCTAAAGCCGCATACAAAAGCCAAAGCTTTTTCCTCCTTTGAGCTTACAATCGACAGCATTTCTCACGATTTATGTTTACACATAATTTAAATGTATAGGTATTTGTGTATTACGTACACGGTATGTACATCCAAAAAATAAGGGCAATATAATATTATTGTAGCGTATACCTACATATGAACACGTATAATATTAACAAAGTGCCGAAGATTGAGAAAAAGTAGCGTAAGTAGGTGCAGTTGGTAAAAAAGTACACACATAGGTAATACATCATTAGCGTAAAAGCTTCGTTCATACTATCGAGTGTAAGAGGTAAGGGTTGGAGCAGAAAAAAAAGGCACAGAGAAGCGGAAATGAAGAAAAACTCAGCGAGAGAGAAAGAGCCGAAGCGCAAAAGATGAGTGGAGCCAGAGATGATGATGATGATGATGAGGAGGGAGGGAGGGTTGATGGTGTATGATGGGGATGAGAGCGGATATGCATGCTACTTACTAGCTTGGCCTGCGTGACTATGCTCTAGGGGCTTGGGCGCGAGTGAGTTCGCTCGACGATTGGCCGACGAATTGGTGGCCGGTGTTCTACTAAAAGTACTACTGTTAGTGCCCCGATCGTAGCCGGCCTGCTTTGAGCCATGGTGGCCGACCCCGAGGGTGCCCGGCCTAACTGCGGCTGTAGCTTGCTGCTGCTGGTGATGCTGCTTGTTTGAACGTGCGGATGACGGCTGTGCAGTTAACTGCGGCTTACTCGTAGCCGCGGTGGTGATGGTGGTGCTGGCAGTCGTGTCCGTCGCGCCGCGATTTATAGACAACGCGTTACTACTGCTACTACTATTACTACTGCTTTTTGGCCGTTGCTGCTTGCTTATTTGTTGATGATGATGATGATGATGAGCTGGACGCTGATGATGATGATGTTGCGAGGGAGGATGAGCATTGGTTGCGGGGAAGGCTAGAACACACAACAAACGCGCGCCGCCGCGTGAAAAAACGCAGGACCAGTATGCAAAAACCTCGATTGCTGACAGGCGCTTTGTTTCCCCCTTGATTCATCGATCACTCGTTCTTTTACTCTATCTTTCATTGCATCCTTTCAAGGTTTGTTTTTTTTTTTTTTTTTTTTTTTTTTTCAATCTTTTTATTCGATTCCTCTTCTTTTTTTCATCTATTTTATTTTTACTCCTCTTGTGCACTGTTTCAAAATGTAATGCGTGATTTTCTCTTACTGCACAGTGATTTGCATCGATCTCTAAAGTCTTTACTTGTTGTCGACGATCAGCAATTCAGAGTTTAATAAAAAAGATCTACTACATTTTTTTGCTCCTTGCTCTCAAAGTAATGCACATTAATTATTTCACAGAATAATCCTTATTTTAACCCGCCTATGCGATAAAAATCATTTTTGGCACGTTTCTTAATCGATGCATAAGTAGGTACAAATTTTTCGTACTTGTTGGTGGACATGTGAAAAATAAAAAATTTTTAATTGACTGTGTGCCTCTGATAAAGTTTTCAATTTTTTTATTCTTAAATTGATTTTTTTGTAAAATATCACAGTAAGTATTTCCATTACGTCAACGTTAACACAGCATACAATTACAATTTATTTATTATTTGGATATTTCAATTTAAAATAAACCTATTGAAGGGGCAAAACAAACTTTACTTTCAAAGATTTACAAACTAATTAAATTCAAAGTTTTTTAAGTATATCAAGCTACGGAAAAATACGCTATCTCAAGTTTTTCAAAATAGTAAATAATCAACAAGAAAAAATACATAAGTGCAACATTAAAAAAAGATACTACGTATGATAAATAACTCTACGTTTTACCTCTGAAGTTAAGTCATGTTGGTTGCATATAAAACTGATAATCATGTGAATCTTTTAAGAGGGAAAAATATGTCAAAAATATACGAGGTGACTACGGCTACACAAATTGTTAATCTTGCATACAATTATGTATAAAATTTTTTGGCACTTTTCAGATTAAATTTTTTTTTGTTCTTTAAGTTTAAATCTATCAAACAGCCTACTAAGATTTTTCGTTTTACAAATTTCAAAATTTCTCAAATCGCATACATTACGAATTTCTTTCACTCTCTTAGCATATTTTTTCTAACATAAAAACTTAAAACCTTTCGAAAAAATTATTTTGAAACCGAAGTAAAATACATCAGAAAAGTTATTTTCTTTCTTATTTAATTCGCCATCGTTCACGACTTTATTCATTCATTTAAAGTGATTCCACGTTGACAATCTTGAATAAGCTATTTTACTCAATTTTCGAAGTAGGGATTCAAATTTACACTTGTGCCATTAAATTAAGTATCAAGAAAAGATGAATGTAAAAGTTGTAAGTGTATATGATCGAAATCTGAACCAGGTAACGCCAGAAAAAAAACGTGCAAAATTTTTTGGTGCAAAAATATTTTCTTTTGGGTCGAAGCATTGTTTCTGTCTCAAAATTTGGTGTAAAAATCCACTTGTTATTAGCAACACTGAGTAGCAGTGAAAAAAGGTGCCGTTGACGCATTATTTTTTTATACATGTTTTTGCAAATGTATATAACAAGTGAAGAATTTTATTTGCTATGGTAGACAAAAGCACAGATTGCAGATTACGTGAGGGACATACGTTTAAGGGTAACCGACTGCGGTGGTCTGCTCGTCCTGATGCGGATAACTCGAGTCGTTGTCGACGTTTTATCACTTCCTAATACTGCAGTGGATCTCGTTTTTCCTACGAATTTTCTTCATTGTGGACCGACAATTTTTTTGTTTTCTCATATCTTCATGATGATGACGTATAATTTTTGTTTGCGGGATCATGTGTTTCGATGAGAGCAGAGGTAATAATAATCGTAATGATAAAAATAATAATGGAAAAAAAAAAAAAAAAAAAAAAATCATGTATCAAGTACGTAGGAAGGCGCGTAAAAAGCTTGTGGCATATGTATAAAGTATTATGCAATAAACGCTACATGATATAAAAATACGAGGAATAAAATAGAGGTGTATTTTATCGGGATGCTCGAATCGTCCTGCGTTGTTGTACACCGCAAGGAAGTACTTCTTCATCTCACCTCACTCTTATTTAATCTAACGCGGGTGACGTTACGAACCATAGATTCCAGCATCCCGTAAAACTCACGGTAAAAAACGCCATAAGTAGCAATCATGAAGAGCATATAGGTATATATACTTGGGACAGAGTATGCAATATGCTCATTCTTTTGTTCTATAATGCTGATGCTCAAAGAGTCTACTGAAAAGTCACAAATAATACGTAATATATACTTACAGGGTATGATGGGCAAAATTAAGAATACAGAGCGACAGGGAGAGCAAAGTAGAGTCTAAAGTAATTATGTTACAAATAATATAGAAAAAAAAAAATATAGGGGTCTCCCTCATGCACGTCACTTTATAATCAGTCTTTATTGAAGCTAAGCGAGAGTACAATTAGTTTAATGGTCATCTCCTGAATTCATTATTTATCATTATTATTATTATTTTTTTAAAGGTTAAATGCAATAAGAATCTGCGTATAGTAATATAATTTACACTTGTACTCTCAAATGTTATAAGTTGGATTTAGTCTTCGGCAATGCATAAAAAAAAAAAAAAAAAATGGACATTAAGCAATCCAAGTAATTCTATGGTAACGCATGTAACATTACATCACGTGTAACTTATAAAAATATATATAAATGTCCAAAAAAATAAATTAAGCTTATGCACGAAGATGCAAAGTAACGGAAATAAAAATGTATGCAGTATATAAATATATAAAGACACACATACACAAATACGTATGTGTATAAAAAATATCACTTGCGGCATTCGATCGCTGTCATGTCGAATGTATATAAGTAGGTATGTATGGTATGATGTTATCGGCTTTTATACGGTTACTTGTTAGATAATAGTTTTTAATGAAAAAATAAAAAAATAAAAAATATATAAAACAAAAGCAGCAGTGAAAAACCTGCCGGTTATTACTCACTCGATCGGGGATGCCTTTCCGAACTCTTATCTCGGCTCTCCTTTTCCTTATCCTGTCGAGAAGCAAATAAAATAAAAAATAAAAAAAATGCCTGTTAGCTTTATATTAATTAATTTTTCACTTGAGTCAGTAGTAATTATTTTTTAGTAAAAAAAAAAAAAAAAAAAAAAGTAGACGAGCAATTCTAAAACGGTGGTTTTGTAAATGAACCTTGGCATCCTTGACGACAGACGCCGGTCGTCGCTTGGGCGAACGGCGCTCGACCACACTCGGCCCGACGCTCTGAGAGCGCGCGCTGCGCGGGCTGTTCTTTGGACTAGACTTTGAGCGCGGCTGGGCCTCGACCGACTCGTCACGACGCCGTGGTGCGACGGGCTCCAGCTTCTCCCTCGTCGGAGAGGGTAGCAGCGCACCGTCACCTGTTGTTCATTTGCTCATGTAATTGTATTTTGTTTGTTTTTTTCCTTAATCAAGTATGCCAAACACTATAAAGACACACATACCAGCACCAGTAGTACGATCGAGGTGGTGGCGTATGAGAAAGTCCTTACGCGCCCGAGCGAGTGCTCTGTCGTTGTCCTTGGAGAAAAACAAAAAGGAGAGAGATCAATGGAAGCGCAACATTTTCAACAACAACAACAACAACGGCAGTGGTGACAATAAGGTAAATGTAGCAGTGGAAGAAACGTACGGGCTTGAGGTCGTCGAGTAGCGCGGCGGTCTGGTAGATGGGGCGAGCTTGTACGGAGGACGGCCTGCCGGCTGGTGGCTGTTGTACCTGTGCCGTCGTCAGCGTGATTGGGGCCACCTTTCTCGTGTTCTCCTTCTCCTTTTCCTCCTTGGTGGCCGAGCGGGCGAGCGACAGGGCGTTGAGCGCGTGGTTCGTCGAGACGCGCTTCCACAGGGTCGCCTCGTCCTCGTCGCCGGCTATTCCGCCGCCCCAGTCGCGGTGCTACGATAATCGTGAAATCATTATCTTCGACCGAATAATTATATAAATACACGTATTTCAAACAGCTGTGAAATGCACAAGTCGTACCTAATTGTAAATTCATAGCATTAAATGTTTGGCCATGTAGAGGTACTTTGGATATTATTTTGCTTTCTCAAAGCATTTTTAATTTTTTACATATGCATGTATAATATGTACATAGTTTTATGAAAAATAAATTTCTTTGCAAGGGATAAAAAGATATTTATCGCGTTTCAAGTAACTACTACTCAATTAGTAAATGCTCGCGAAATGCCGAAACAATCAACACTTTATCTTTATGGGTGAATTTAAAGTAATTATTTACGTATTTTTCTTCAACAAGAAATATCAATCGACAGGAAAAAAAAAAAAAATTGTTTTTTAAATTCAACATTAATATCCAATTATTGATATATTCGGATTTTTGTTGATAAAAAGTATACTTAACAGAGTATACCTACATATTATAATCTTATAAATGACTTGTAAAACGCAAGAACTTCCCCCTTTATTTTCATAATACCTTATTGAAATATGACACGTAAGTAATGAGACTAAACACCCTGAAAATGGACGTAATTGCCGTTGAAAGGTGCATGAAGGGTTAAGTAATTGAATGAATTGTCGCGCACCTTGTACTCGTCGGCCAGGCGTTTGAGCTCGCGCCTGATTTCCAGCACCTCGGGCGCGGTCATGGGCTTCTCCTGTCTCGTTTTTCTGTACCTGTTCTCCTGCATGGGCAGCAGCTGCTCGGTTATCCTCACCGCTCGGCCGATCACGGGCTTCTTGAGGCTCTGATCGGTAGTGCTGTTACCGATCGCGGTTGTCGCTGGCGCTGCTGTTGCGTCGGGCTCGTCGTGCTCGTCGGCCTCCGGCAGTGCTCCCTCCGTCATGACCAGCGGCTCCAGCTCCGAGGCTTGGGTGGCGTCACGCCTACACAACGCAAACGTATATTATCATTATCGGTTTATTTATTTATTTTTTTTTTTTATTTGACACCGATAACAATGTTATTCATGCTTCCTCCATTATAAATTGGACAAACGATTGAAATTTAGGTGCGCATAAATAAACATAAGACAAACCCCTGGTGTGCTCGTCTGTGATCTGGGCCGGCCGGTTGTCTCTTCTTGTGCACGGGCGCTGGCGCCACCGTCCCCCCGATAATGATCGAGCCCTGCCTGAGGGCGCCCATGCTCAGGCTCTTTCTCGGCTGTTGATCCGCCGTCCCCGAGTCGTCTTTGGGTGGGGCCCCGACCACGTCGCCGTTCGTCAATTGTGCCTGTTGTTGTCGGCGCGGCCACGCGAACTGCAACCGGTACTCGGTGCTTATGCGCGAGATCGCCTTGCTCAGCTGCGACGCCGGCAAAACCCTTGTCACCTCCTGTTGTCCAACAAAGTACAACATGGTGTATATGTATCAACAAACGCGACACACGATGTACCTATTTTTTTTAAATCCATAATACGTATGTATTCACGAAAGATCAAACATCATATCGTGTTACTTGATGCACAACCGCGAAAAAAAAAACTGCACTATTAAAGTAGTTACTGGCCAATGAGAAAAAATGATACTGGCAGCCAAAAAAAAAAAAAAAAAATACCACCACACACCTATTACAAATATTACAATGACGTGCCCACTTATACTTATGTATATGATCGAGGACTTTGAAATTCGTGCCAAAACGATTTGCGCGAATATATATATATACATTCACCGCGTTTAGAGCTCTAAAAATAATTCACGTCCTCGGGCTGTATACTTACAGCACTTTCATTTCGTGTATTATGATGATGTATACTTGATATAAAATCTCTAAAAAAAAAAAAAAAAAAAAAAAAAAAAGTAGAGCGGAGAGGGGAGAAAAACTTACTCTGACTTTGTCAGCTACGACGTTGGAGTCGGGGGCATCGATCCCGCCGCCCCCGCCTCCGTCACCACCACCACCGCCGTCCGTCGCCGCCGCGTTGATAAACTCGTGCGTCCTGTAGGCAAGTTCCGGGTTCTTCTTCCGCCTCGGCAACGGCGGCTCCAGACTCGTCCCTGAAAATATCACAGAGCCCACTTTCAACTCGAGCCATTAGTAGCGGCTTTTCCTCTTTTTCCTGCGGCCCTTCGCTCGTCTCCTTTAAAATCTCTGCCGAATAAAGCTGTTTGGTAATGATAATACATAACAACACATGTGTGGCCATCACGCATATTATATATATATCAGCAGTGTCGAATTCTATAAGCATTGGTTATTTTTGACTTTTTCGCAAAAACGCTCTTGCTCGCTTGCAACTCATATCGTATAACGTATTATTTATCACATGATCATAATAATAATATACACATCGAAATTCGATGGTACACTTTTAATAAAGTACTGTAGATCGATGGGTGTAGAAAGAACGTCTTTGTTAATCCTTGGCGTTTCGAACATGTTCACATAGTAACAAAAGTAGTTGAAGAACGTGGCATAACCATATGTGTGTAAATCGTATAATGCGTGATGGGTAAATAAATTAAACGATGGACATCATGCATGTGATCGTAATCGGTGCACCGAAATTGAAGCGCTTCGTGCTGCAGATTCGTTGTGTTGAATAGCTTGACGAGTCTCTCGACTTTGACAATCGAACTGGCAAATCATGGGTACAGTGTTAATGTATAGGTAAGTACATCTTGAAACGCTCGGTCGCTCGGCTAAGCTATTTACGTTGATTGTAATATACAAAACGCGGGATGTAACGGTGAGGTACCGTCGAACGCTCACCCGCGTATATATGACACCTCAGGTAAAGGCTGTAGGAGAGAGCCTCGCTCGGCACGCCATTTCTGTTGTTCTCGTGTTGCTTCGTTTAATTAAGAGTCGCCAGAGGGGACAATTTAACACTCCGCAGCATGATTTCTTTCAGATTTGTACTTATTCGCTTCGTGCTCGTTGTCACTTACTTTCTATGGGCCAAAGCTTTTATTTTTACGTATGAGCTGCAGCAGTCACCGATTATTTAAATTTCTCTGTGTCCATCACCGCCGATTTATTAAAACTTGAAATCACAACCACCGACCCGCAGCGAATATCACAGAACATAAATAACTTTTTACACTCATAATTTCTCTGGCACAGGTGCCTCTCGCACTTCGATTGGTCGTTTACACCTGACACTCAAGTGCCCACACGAAATTTATCCAAATTTTTATTTAACTAAGCTTTTTATTTTTTTAAATTAAAACCATTTGCATGCAGCTTTTAAATTAAATTGTACATATTTTTTTTACTATTTTCATGAAGAATTTTAACTTGATAATATGTTAATCACGTTTCAAGTTCAAACACCTTTTTACGAGTGGATAACGAGTGTAATATGTAAGATTTTATGTTATTTACTCATCAAGGAATTCGTTAGGAAGTATGTCATACTACTTGCAGGCAAAAAATTTCTTGTGAAAGTATTAAAAAAAAAAAAAAAAATTGAAACAGATTGATAAGCCGTGCAACATTTTTTGTGTTTCGCGAACTACTTGTCAAATTAAAATAGAAAAATGAAATCAATAAAAGCATAAAAGCGGGATCAAATACAGTGTTGGTGTGATGTGGATGATGAAATGAAAAAAAAAACTTGCAGATGGTTGAAAGTACTTATAAGCATAGGTGTAACATATCACAAGCATATCTGAAAATACGGTGATGTGTATGTCATATACGACTCCTTTTCAAAAAAGTTGTCATCTTATACTGACTATACTTTATGTATACAACATAGCTATTTTTTTTCAATGAATTTCGTTCTCGTTGATCAGAATAAATTTTACTGAGAACTTGTGTAGTCCTTTGTTTCTGAGCGTTCAAGGCAGAACTAAATTTACAATGTTGGTAAATATTTGGCCTGAAAGGTATTAAGTTTGAGGAAAAATGACCGTCGATCACTAATATAAAAATGAGCATTAAGGGAAAAAATGTAACAACAACGGAACAAAACGTATATAGTCATTGATGTAAATCGGACGTTTAAATGTTTCATATGTGAATGATTAATCTGTAGAGTCAAGTATTTAAGCATCTTCTTCTTAAAGCATTTAAACTGTATGAAAAAAAAAAAAAAAACGATTTAACGGCATCCGTCAAAGAAACAACAATAATTTCAATGGAATCCGTTTTTTGAATACCACGAGCGACTTTTGGTCTCCTGATCGACATATCTTCACATAAAAGGAAGAAAACATTAATAAAATAAAATGAAAATAAAAAAACAGTTTATCAAAGGTAAAAAGAGAAGAAAAGAAGTATCGGATCCATAAATTGTCGCAGAGACACAGAAAAAAGGAGTAACGTAAACAAAAGGGATAAGGGAGTTTGGCAGCATTTGGATTCCCTTCATCTCTTACCTTCGCTATTATCATCCTCGATGGACTTGGCCGACTGCAGCTTAGCGCTCGTATCAATCGCTGGAAAGAAAAATCGGTTTTCGCAGAGCTGCAGCCTCTTTTTTTTTTTTTTTTTCGTTCTCTCTTAATTTTGCATAAATAATACTTTAAGTTATGGGCTCGAAAAAATATATGTTTTACACTATATTGGCATGAGGTAGGATATGCTACTGATAATTACTAGCGACGTATATTTCAGTAAACTATACGTGATTGTGTGTGTGTCTGTGTGGGTGTTGTAAAACCTAAAAAGTGCATTTTTTTAGCCTCGCCTATTCATCCCAACATCTTATACTAGGAATCAGTGAGCCAAACAAAGTTAGCAAAATTTTTATCACGTGAAATTGAAAAAAATATTAAAAAGAAAATTAAGTGGGTCGGGGAAGTGAAATAAATGAAAAATATTCATTAGCTTCGACTGAGTATTAATTTTAGTTCTAGTCATGGTCAATAGGTAATATGCATTTATCGTTACATTAAATTAATTAATCAAATAATAAGCTAGAGTGTCTGTTAATTTATAACAACTATCTAGCTGTTATTGGCTCAGTGAGTGTTAATTTTGTTTCAATCTATCCAAAAACATTGAATTAAAAGATAGGGTGGTAAAAAGTCACATGACAAAAGAAGAGATACAAATAATGTGTATATTACATCATACTTGAATGTAAGAGAAATAAAATGGACAGAGAGAGTGAGAGAGTGTCTGTGTGTGAGTTCGCGTGATCGTGTAATACTTATGATATATAGAGCGTGAGTGAGAGACACCAAAAACAACATTTAACCGATAATATCGTGTGTTCATGAATAAATAAAGGGAGCACTAAATTCAGTTCCAGAATAATATATCTTAAACATTAGAATATCTAAAAATAATGTAACGATGTGAGTATAATTTCTTCAAAAGGTTCCACCATATGTTAAACCGCGTCATCGCTTAAAGATTGGCTGTGCTTTCGACCAGGGATGGTGATTTCTCGATATTGCAGGTATGAAATCTTATGATTCACCCAGACAAGTCAGCGATTGGACAAAAAAATTATTTCTATACCAATTAATTAAAAAAATAATGTTTTTGAGACGCTGATAAGAACCGAAAAATTCCAAGATGACCGTCCGATAATTAATTTACTCGCAAACATGCGTGGGATCTTTTTCCCAACAACATATTGATTTCTACGGAGAAATAAAAAAAATTTTCAAAATTATATTTTTTAAATTTTTTTGAAAAAAACGAACAACCTGTTCTGATGAAACGAAATTTAAGGAAATAAGAGTTTTGAGCAAAAAAAATGCAAACTTTGATAAATATCGGAATTTCAATATTTTATATCGATTTCTTATCTTAAAGAACATATTTTGATACAAAATAAGCTTTGATATTTTATAATTGTACTTTTTGGGCCAGTACCATTTTATAAATAAAATTCCATACCTGCCATATACAATTTACCATCCCTGCATTGAAACTATATATACTTTTGATAAAATGAAACTATATTTACACGAGTAATTAATAAACTATGTTAATGGACAAATGAAAAAATAAAATATCCTCTTCTTGTTAATATGAAAAAATGTAAGTTATACGTATAATAAAGTAGAACTACTGATACAATAACAAGAGAGAAAAATGTAACTAGAAAATATTTACTTAATCGACGTACGATGACAATTTTATTTTTTAGTAAAAAAAAAAAAAAAAAAATACTGAATCGTGGAACTTTTTTTTCCAAGATATTTTAAATGGATGGTGTACAAAAGTGAGGGTGAGAGTAAGTAAAGGAAGGGAAGGGTGTGGTGACTGACTTACTCGACGGCGCCTGTGGTGCCCGTCTGACGACAGTGTGCTCCTGTCCGCTGGTATACTCGTGCCATGTGTACGTGCTCCTGTATTCGGAATGGAGCTGGAACAGTTGAAATTATAGCGTAAATTTTAATTGTACCTCATTTATTCTTATGCGTGTGTGTGTTTATATACATATACACGAAATTTATCCAAATTTTTNCCCATGAATTCCTAGACCTTGGCACTATAGTTTTACTGATATATACTATATTGTTTTTTTTTTAATTTTTTTTAATTTTTATTATGAGTCATCACGCAATACAACCACCGTGCAATGTATGAGAATAATTATGAAGCCACAGCTGCACAGTTGAAAAATACTTTTCGAAGAAATGCGACCTTTGGCTTTGTTCCACCAAATGTTTTTTTTACTACTCTAAGGCTCGTGCATATATTTTTAAATCTCTTTTGTGATATTTACAATTAGTTTTGTCATGTACATTCAAATGAATGTGACAGAGTTCGTGCAACTTTGTGAGAAAATTTCTCAGCAGTACAGAGCTAGACTAGATTTTTTAGTGACTAACGAGACCATGGAGATGTATCATCCAGAGTTATTCATTTGTTTTACGGTGGACATGGGCACAGTATCTCTAAGAAAGCATAATTTAAAAACGTGAAAGCATAATCATGTCTTTGCAACGATAACCCGTGCAAATGGTAAAAGGGGTCACGTTACATATAAACAATATACTCCACATTTTGATCATTAGTTTTACGGAAGTTCCTATCATTGATTTTTAGCACACGCACAAACACACGCACGTATATGCATACCTACGTACATCACATCTGGGTCATTTTATAATCAGCGGTGAAACCGCACAAATAGTTTAAGAGGGTAGAGAAGAAAATGAAGGCTCTCGCACATGTAGGAGGCGTTCACATATTTAATATACGTATCTACAGGTTGTATAAGCGATCATGGCTTTTTTTATTACATCGCGTATATTTCAACCTATACTTCGAAAAAAAGGGGATAAAAATAGTTATTGATTATTTCCTTTCCTTTATGGCTCTCTGTCCTCGACTCCCTGGGTTTTTCAAATTAGGACGAAAGTTACTTTTAATGCTCGAAAAATTTCCAACTGCATCGCCGCGTGGAGCAATTTTCATATTTTTCCCAACTTTTTAGGCTGGAGTGGACCATTTCAGCGAAAAGCGCTTTTCTGTGCAAATTTATACGAGCCTCGAAAAGGCGACGAATAGAAAGAACGTATCGATTTCCTCATTTTTTTTTTTTTTTTTTTTTTGGACAACGTTGTGGCCTCCTTGGTGCGGATGCTGAACAATTTGAGCGATAAAACCGGAGCTCGAATTGTTTTCTCTTTTTGCTCTGAGGTATGTGATTTTTGTATTTTTTGTACTAAGATTAATTTTCAAGCCATTCTCATCCGATACAACACACAATACGTGGCGTAAAGCTACCGTAAAAAAATATAAGTTTCAGATATGCCTCGTGAAAAGGAGCTTTGCTGTTGGCGCTGCTGGTAAAAAGTATATAGATAGATGAGAAAGGTTGAAGCCATCGGAGGCTAGCGGCGGGCTTCCATAATCCATTTGCGCGTGAAAAGGCGTTATAGATACTATTTCATAAGCCCCCCCCCCCTCCCATTCTCCATCGCATGGGATCTCGCATACGTAGCTGAAAATGTACGTGAGACTGAAACTTTGTTCAACAAGTTCAAATAATCTTTTCTTTCCAAGATTTTCCTCTCTCCAAAACAAATGTATGTGCATATTCGCTTTTGTGTAAATGTCATAAATACCTCGAAAAATACCGAAAAGTCATAAGATAGATAACTAACAGACAAAAAAAATCATGACAATTGCTGTGTTGGCTATGGGTAATTTGTTATTAATTCATCGTCGAGGGACTTTTTACTTTAGGCAACATAATTTTTTACCATTTAATGGCTAGACGGTAATTTAGATGGTGAAAAAAAAAGAAGAATCCCTGTTTTTCGTGTAATTCGTACCAATGACAATATTTTCTTTACAAGGTACACTTGTGCTGGTGCATGATGTTTCTTTTGCTCTACAATACTACATACTTATGTATATAGAATAGATTCCCGCTTCCTAACATAGTTCGGGGCGTTTCATGTGACCATATAAACATATAGGAGGTAAGTGTATTTATGTACATTTTGTGAAACACCCGGAGCAGCTCCAAACAGTTTGGTAAATTTTACCGAGTATTACTTATCGGCAAATCTATGTAATGTAACAAGTAGGTATTCGGGACGAGAGGGAAGACGCCTATAAGCCTCAATAGTAAATCAGTAGCAGCTGCCTCTGACAAGTTTCTCACTCCTCGTATCGGATAATAGACACGCGCATACAGTCTTACAGCATTACTTTCTGGGCAATGGTGGTCGTAATGCAAAGTTTTACACCCCTTATTTTTCTCTCTATGTATATCCCCGTTGACTTTCTGCCAGCAGCTATTCGATCCTCCGAACCCAGATGCTGTGTATTTTTAATGGACCTGCGCCCACATGTGTCTCCAAGTTGAAAATAAATAAAAAAAAAAAAAAAAAAAAAAAAGGAGAAGATACGATAAAAAAAGAAAATTGCAATGCCGTTGTCGCTCGTAAATGCTTCGATCGAGGAGAAAAATCACCGTTTCCCTCTGTACGCTTAGGTTCTTTATTTATTTCTTTCTTTCCTTTTCGCTCTACGTAAACGGCGAATCGATTTTACAACCACGAAATATTCCTCTGCATCACAACGCGCCCGAGAACACACACAGCGGCAAAATCGCAGGTCAATTAAAACTAAGTCTATTTGCGGTCGTGCTTGTATACTTTTTTTTTTTTTTTTTTTATCATACAGAGCGAATACAAGATACGACTAAATGTAAACCTGTTTGTATTTTCTTTCAAGTTATTGGATATTATACTTTTATGTTTGTCATAATGACGTATCGATACATATATATTATGGGTGTAGCATCGGAAAAACCGGCTTTTTGGCAACCTAGAGGTTACGGAGAGATCGAGTTTAGCGATAAGTCAAAGCCAAAAGCGTAAACACCCCGACATAAAATTCTCGTATCCAATACTGTTGTTGCTCCATTGGCTACAATGTGTACATCGATTTTTCCCTTGGACGTATCGATGGAACGAAGGAATGAATTCCGAACTCACAAGCGTACCGTATTTTCTTTCTTTGGGATCACCTCAACGAAATTCACAATAAGGTATACACCTATGAGCATTTCAGCATCACCAAACTAATTTCATGCAAGAATTACTTATTCCGTTCCTCTTCAACGCTTTTTTAAAATTAAACGATGACTCGTGCGGTAAGAAATTCGATAAAGTTGCTAATTGCGTATCAGGTAGATGTGTAATACACATGTTGAAATCTACAAAAAAAAAACACGAAACGGAAGTAACCGCAGTAAAATAAGAAAATAAAGAATATTTCCAAGCTACAGACCACCAAGAGTGAAAATGGGATTTGTGCTGTGGGTGGATAGTCGCTGCCTTCGACTCTGTTTGTCCAATCTAATTTGCTCCGCTTCGGCACATCTGTTATTTTTATCCTTGAAAAATTAATCGTAGGAGAGAAGCGGCGGTGTATAAAAACACAAAGTTAGCCTTTCCTGATAAAATTACGGGACTTGATTCTTTTGGTAAACAATAAACTCGAAACAAAGTTGGAAAATTTTTTAAACAAATGGTACAAGTCGGTCATTAACCAAATAATGAAAATAGTAAAGTCGTAGCTTAATTTTCATTGCACACTTTTCATACGGCCACCTTATTTTAGAGTAAAAAGGTAATGAACGATAGTACTCTCAGGATATTGGATCATAAAAGTAAACTCGTAGAAAAAAAAAAAAAATGATAAAAGTAACTGTGCTGGAATGGTAATCTCGTGCTGTTCCATTGGTTCAGAGACTTGAACTTTTTTACAATGATATTTACTATAAATTTATTATAAACCGGCAGTACTAGATACTTAATATAAATTGGCATTTGTATCCTTAGTAGGGATACAGGGATTTTTACTTCTTTCACTAGATAAATTACTGTCTAGTCATTAAATGGTGAAAATTATGTTGCCAAAAGAAAAAAGTCCCTCGACGGGTAAGTTATTTCAGATGACCATTATAATATATGTAGCCAAGAAAGCAATTGTCATAATTTTTTTTAGTGTAAATATTGACATCGCTAAAATTGTAACGTACTATGAGTGCTTGCAAACGTTATTATTATTTATACCGTTATACCAAAGTGGCGCAATGCTGCCGCAACGTTTTCCCTTCTTCCCACTCCCCCTTGTCTTACTGAGTCTGGGGGAAATGTATGTCCATCGGCCAGGTAAAGTGACGAGACTTGGGTCTAAAGATCTTTCTCCTCTCTGTTCTGCATTTACATGTCATCGTTGACTTTCTTAAAATCTTTTTCATCCATTTCTTCGTACAGTCCCGATCATTTGTTAGTTTATATATTTATCGATTACCGATACAATAGATACCCTTAAAGAGGGTCCCCGCGATCATTTGAGGATGTAAAATCAATTCCCTTTGAGTTTCCTTGTGTTGTAGGAAGTGCCCATGTCAAGGCGATCCACTTACTAAACTTGAAATATTAAAAGTTACGCTGTTCGTTAAAGTGAACAAGACGTTCAGTGGCTAAATGCTGAAAAATTGATATAAATTTTAATTCTAATTATTTATGAGTAACTCAACAAATGATCTACTCATTATTTTGAGTGGTACCAACAATAAGTTTACCAACTAATAATTATGGAAATAGAGAAACTTTAACTGTAAGAGAAATAAGAAATACATTCTCTGTTTTGCAGCAAAATCCACTATCTCGCGGCGAATACTAACTAGTTCAAATAAGATGTAAGTACACAACCATTAAATAGTGAAATTGTCTGTTTCACTGTTTCAATAGTGTACCTATATGCACTATTTTGTAAATGCTGTATATTTATAACTTTTAAAAATTTGGAGAGCATGTATTTGTATTTGAGCCAGTTATACATGTGTGACAAAAAAAAAAATGTGTGTTTGTACCATGTCGGCCCAATTGA